ACTTTCTCTCCATTTCTTCACTTAGTAGCAAATCGCAACTCTTGTTTGTGCTTATTCTAGTGTTTTGATGATGTTTCATTATTCTTTAGTCCATTCCTTAACTCCCATGTGAATCGCCACTTCCCATCTTGGGATTTCATGCATGAAAGTGAGTTTCACTCACTCCCCATCCACCTTCTCTCCATTTTCTAACTTGATAGCAAATCACAACTTTGGTTTGTGCTTGTTCTATTGTTTGGATGATCTTTTACTCTTGCCTTGTCCATTTCACACACTTCGTGATAATCCGATTCATCCTTGGCTGTTCCACTAGTCGTATGCATTTGTTCTCACTAGTCGCACTCTTGCTTTGTGTTTTTCACACACTTGGTGATAGTCCGATTCATCCTTGGATGTTTCACTACTCATATGCATGTGTTCTCACTAGTCATACTCTTGCTTTGTCCATTTTATACACTTGGTGATAGTTCGATTCATCCTTAGTTGTTCCACTGGTCATATACATGTGTTCTCACTAGTCACACTCTAGCTTTGGTCATTTCATACATAAGGTGATAGTTCGATTCATCCTTGGTTGTTCCACTGGTCATATGCATGTGTTCTCACTAGTCACACGCTTGCTTTGACTATTTCATACACTTGGTGATAGTCCAATTCATCCTTGGCTGTTCCACTAGTCCTATGCATGCTTTCTCACTAGTCACACTCTTGCTTTGTGCATTTCATACACTTGGTGATAGTCTGATTCATCCTTGGTTGTTCTACTAGTCACATGCATGTGTTCTCACTAGTCACACTCTTGCTTTGTGCAATTCATACACTTCGTGATAGTCCGACTGTTCCACTAGTCATATGCATGTGTTCTCCCTAGTCACACTCTTGCCTTTTCCATTTCACACACTTGGTGATAGTCCGATTCATCCTTGGTTGTTCCACTAGTCATGTGCATGTGTTCTCATTAGTCACACTCTTGCCTTGTCCATTTCACACACTTGGTGATAGTTCGATTCATCCTTGGCTGTTCCACTCGTCATATGCATGTGTTCCGACTAGGCACACTCTTGTTTTGTGCATGTCATACACTTGGTGATAGTCCGATTCATCCCTGGTTAATAGACTCGACACGCATGTGGCCTAACGAGACCCCATCTTCTAAGCAAACGTGATAATAGGAGATAAGAAAAAAAACAGTTTTCTGTATTAGGACTGTTGTTGATGCTGTTGATGTGCATAACAATGTTGTTGCTGCTGCTGATGACTGACAAAGTCCCTTGTTGCGGCTGCTGCCGTTGAAAAACCAATGACCAACCCTCGGAGCACAGGTCGACCCAAAAATAGGACTAGGGGGCCAATGCGACCGAGGGGCGCTTTGGCCAAGATCCGTCAAACCAAGGATATGAGGGTTGGGACTACTCAGACCTCCTATCCTGGGCATAAACAGATAACCTGCAGAACCTGCAGGTCATCTGCGTCTATTTTCCTACAAAAACGTGAAATGAACTTCACCGAACTGTTCACCTTGAGGCCCGAACGGCGCCCGAAAACGGCAAGTAGGGGCAAACGATGACGGAATCCGACCAAATTTGGTAGTGTGCTTCCATAGGGTACAAACAGAGAGCCCACCAAAATAAGACTGATTCTAACCTCGTTTAGGTTAGGGGAAATGCAAATCTCTGTTTTTCGGTTCTCCTCCTTAGGCAAAAATGACAAAAACGGCAAAATCTGCAAAATCGGCAGGTCTGCAGATCTGCGAAGATTGCGTTTTCTGAAATCTGTCTTTTCTGCAAGTCTGTACTTTCTGCATATCTGCTGTAGGACTAGTACTGCAAGTCTGAAGTTTTTGAAGTATGGGACAAGGGAAAACTTAGGGAGACAAAGTCGGACTCGTAAAGTAGGACGAAGTATCAAACACCTCACGTTGTCTTCCTCCTCCATCTTCTTCACCCATCCGCCATACCCAACCACCTCACACCATCTTCCTTCTCCATCTTCTTCACCCATCCGCCATAGCCAACCACCTCACACCATCTTCCTCCTCCATCTCCTTCACCCATCCCCCATAACCAACCACCTCACACCATCTTGCTCCTCCATCTCCTTCACCCATCCACCATAGCCAACCACCTCGCACCATCTTCCTCCTCCATCTCCTTCGCACGTCCACCATAGCCACCCACCGCACACCATGTTCCTCCTCCATCTTCTCCACCCACCCACCATAGTCGATGACTCATGTCCTGTGGGACAATGCGCAGGGAGCCAAGGATCCGCTATGTGATGAAAAGGACTGAAATGGGCAATGCAAGGTCAGCGTAGCATCAACAAGCAATGTACATTCTGAATACATACAGATGGCACAAAATGGCACAGTGGAAGGTTTAAAGACAAGATCTGATCGGATCTGGACTGACCCGACATCCATCCCACATCGCACATGAGAGGGAGAGGAGGAACCGCAATCATGGAAGAAAGGTCCCTCCTTCATACACACACATGGGGAGAAACCACGGATGAGAGATGGGGGAGAGAGACAAACGAAGGAGGGAGGAGGCGAGAGAGTAGACCAAGATCGCAATGGCGAAGTACAGAATAGTCTCTTGCCGAATGTCCAAACAATGTCTGCCCCAGAAATGTCGAATCAAATCCTGGGCAATGTGCCCGTTATAACCCCAGCCTGAATCCCTACTAATAACCTTTCACACTCTCAGATTCAAAGAAGAAGAAGATGAGAAAGAGGAGGAAGGAGGGAGAAGAGAGAGAGAGAGAGAGAGAGAGAGAGAGAGAGAGAGAGAGAGA